GCTGGGTGTGATCAAATAACCTGCTGACGTGTGACCTTGAGTAAAGCACACCTTTCTGGGCCTCAGCTTCCTCACCTCTCATAATAATAGCTCCTGATAAATTGCATGTGTAAGAAGCTTAGAGTCAGAGCGGGGACAAACCTGAATCGAGCAAGGCTGCTACTGTGAATTGAGCAAGGCTGCTACCTTTTATTACAAACCAGACAGCTTCTCTGAAGGGAAGGACTGGGGTTCTGAATCCTGACCCAGCCTATGGAGTCCGGAGAGGCATCACTGAGGAACGATGTTTGAGGCGGGGTGTGAAGAGGAAAGAGTGCTCCAGAAGGAACAGCATATGCAAAGGCCCTGCGGCAGGCAGGCAGGCAGACCTGGCACGTGCAAGGGACTGAAATGGCGCCAGGGTGGCTGGAGCTCAGGGAGGGCTGAGGACAGCCAGGCCAGAGGAGACTGGAGAGGCTCGCAGGGACGGGCCAGGGAAGCACCAAAGGGTTTTAAGCAGGCAAGGAGGTGAGCTGACAGATTTGTGAGTGGAGACCCCTCTCAAGTAGAGAAAGAACTGGAGCTGCAGGGAGGGGAGGTGGAGAGCAGTCAGGAAGTTGGTGGAGAGGCTGGCCTGAGGGAAACAGCGGCAACCTGAAGCAGGAGGGTGGGCGTGGAAACAGAGGGCGAAGGATGGCGTCCAGAGAGTCCTGGAGTACAATGACCGTGCAACCAACAGGAGCAATAACAGCAGCCAACATTTATGGAGCACTTACTGCATGCCAGGCCCTGTGACTTGGGACTCTCCACACATTGCCTCAGTTCATCCTTCCATCAGCCCTCTGGGGTGGGTTCTATCATTACACCCATTTTAGAGGTGAAGTGGCCGAGAGACTCGGACTAGGAGATGCTGGGTTTGTGCCTTTCTTTACCAGGAGGGGAGCTGGGGGTGGCTTGGAGGGACCACTCAAACACACGAGGACACCTGTAAAGCATCACAGGAAAGACGATGAATGGGGCATACCCTGTGGCAGGGAGCACTTGGGGTGCGGACACACCCAGCCCCTTTGCAGCTGCTCATGGGTCTCCATCACATGTCACTGTGTCACACCCGGGGCCCCGACCTGGGGGAGTGGGCTCTGAGCTGAGGGGGCAAGCTGCCGAGAAAGGCCCTGGTAGCTGCTCCGTCTCCACCGCTCTGCATGCCAAGGCACAGCTCAAGAGCCCTGTGTCCCTTGGTGCCCAAAGGAGACACAGAAGTCCCTGGGTGACTTCATCATCCCCGCTGTCAGGAGAACTCGTTCCCGGGGGGTTGAGAAGACATCGGGCTCCATCAGGTCCTACGGAGGTGGGACAGTGGGACAAGGTGCAGTGACAAAGGCCTGGGGCTGGAGGAGAGGTAGGCAGTGGGGGTGGAGGGAGGTGGGGCTTCCATGGGCATTTTGGAAGGTCAAGTGACTCTGGGAGACAGATATCACCACACACACGCACGCACACACAGAGGACACTGTAGCATAGGGACCTCCGTTGGCCTGACACAGAACATTGTTCCCAATGACAACATGCAAACTCTGACGACAGCCAAGGGCCTCAGACCTGCACCGGCCCCCAGGGGAGGGAGGAGGGCAGGTTTCAAGTCGGGCCGCCCCGGCTGCCCCAACACAGTCCTGCCTGCCCCCTCACTTCTACGGCGTGGCATGCGAGGACTGCTGTTGCCCTTGGCCGGCTGGCTGATTCCTACGTGCCCCTTAATGCCTGGGCCAGTGTCACCTCCCCTGGCACAGTTCTTACCCTTAGAGCCCCAGGAAGCCCCTTCACAGCCCTCACCACATAGTGCCATCGTCCTCTTTGGGTCACGCGTGTCTGGGGCACAACCCCGCACCCAGAATACAAGCAAGGCTCATCCCGTCACAGCTCATCCCCCCACCCCGCAGCCCCTCAGCCCAGGCACCCTGAGAACCGCAGGAGAGAGGGGCCAGGGGACCAGCTGCTCCAGCGAGCATGGCCAGCCCTGAAGAGTTCAGTTGGGACCTCCTGCCCTGGCCAAGTAGCCTCTGTCCTCCAGAGCCGACGCTAAGGCCTGGGTGAGGTGGCCTCGCCGCCAGGGCCAGGCACCGACAGCTGGCCGGGGCTCCGGAGCACTCCTATTGAGGACAGGACATGGGGAGCGAAGCCGCTCACTGGGGCAGCTCAGAAGTCCCAGGAGAACAAGGCAGCAGGCAGGAAGCTGGTCTGGAGTTTCGTCCTCCTGAAGGCACACTCACACCCAGGCCACACAAGGTCTCTGTCACACGTCACATGCATGCACACACAGCAACATAGGGTTCTCCACCCCACACATGGCCTCACATACAGTCTCACACTGGCCACACACGTCAATGCACTCACACTCACCTCAAGTCCCTCACACCTCTCCCAAGAATCTCACACACACACACACACACACACACACACACACGGGCACACACAGTATTTCTCTTACACATATAGTCTCTTTTTCTTATACATGCACTCTCCCCGCTACAGTCTCATTTTCCCTCACGGAGTCCATCTCTCAAAACACACACAGTTGTGTCTCTCACACTCACACAGAATTCTGATAGAGCCACAGAACCTCACATAGCCAGTCTCACCACACACACACCCCCCCAAACCCAGAGTCTCACACTCAGTTTCATTCTCATATAGTCTTTCTCACACACTTGAAGAGTCTCTTACACAGACTCTCACACACACAGTGCTCTTTTCACACATACAACGTCACACACACACACAGAGGACTCTGGTCTAGAATCTACAATAAAAATGTAAATCCCGGCCCACTAGTCTGAGGAGGCTTGGGGCCCGTGGGGGAGGGGTGAACGAAGGTGACAGCGGCAGGCAGCGGCAGAGCAAAGATGGAGGGGGAGGGAGGGCGGGCAGCCGACTGGTCTCTGCGCAGATGAGCCGCAGAGAGGCAGCGCAATGCAGCTAGGCCTGCCGGAGGGCAGCAGGAAGCCTGGGTTCTAATCCAGGCTCTGCCCTCAGTGCCTGTGTGCCCTTGGGCAGGTCCCTTCCCCTGGGGGCCTCAGTGTCCTCATCTGTCACCCAAGAATGTTGGAACGACTCTGTGAGGCTCCTGGAGAAAGATAGGCTTGGGGGGTCACCTTCTAACTCACTGCCACCCCCTCTACTGCCCAGCTTTTCCCTCCGAGTCTGCTCTTCTTCCATGGACACTCAGTGGGATCGGGACTTTTCTATAAGGTGTGTACACCAACAGGACTGCAAACCGCACTAGCCAGCCCATGTACCTGCACCGGGTGACGGCCGCCACCCCCCTGCCTAGGAATGTCCAGTGGGAAGAGATGATGGGGGCAGGGGGCTGGAACATGCCCCACGTGACCCCTGCCAATTCTGAAACTCAGGGACGCAGGCCAGAGCCCTAAAGCTGAGCCCAAGGTGGCCAGCTCTAAGGAGAATGAGGTCCCAGGAGACCTGGTTCTGGTCCTGCTTAGCCTCTAGCTCCCTGGTGACCTTGGGCAGGGACCTCAGTGGCAAAACGAGGGGGTTAGCTCTCTTCCTATTAGCCCCCCATACATACCTTATTCTGGGACTTACTATATAACACTCTGACCTGCTGCTCTCTCCTTAAAGGACACTAAAACATTGAGTGTTTTATTTCAGTAACACACCTATCAGGCCTGTGCCTAAACACAGCTTTCTTTCTGCCTATGGGGCACCTCAGTGGCCCCAAGTCCCCTTCCCACACTGATCCTCAGCAACTGGGCAGACACTCCTGCCCCCTCCCCTGCCCCCAGCCTCCCCCCCCCCCCACCCCCTAGTTCTAGTGGGCAGGAGAGAAAGCATGAGGAACAGAGCAGCAAGGAGAGTGGGCAGAGGCAGAGGTTTGCGGGGGTGAAGGGTTTGGATGAGGGAGGGTCTCTCCTTTAAATTCCTATCTCTGACCCTCCCCTTCATGCCTCAGGCTCCATGCAGGCCTGAGGGCAGAGTCCAGTGAAGGCGAGGGGTATCTCTTCCAAAGTAGGTGGCTGCTACCACTGCGTCCCTTTTGGGCTTAAGTAGCAGAAACCCTTAGAATTCAGCAGACCTCCCTCGCCTGTTTTGCAGAGAAAACTGATCCAGAGAGGCCACCCAAGGAGCCAAGGTCAGCAGCAGGGTGCCCTTCCTCCCCTGTAACAAGCACACGGGCTATCAGGAAAGGGGAGTGGCTGACGAAGACACACCCACCTCTCACAGACCCTCTCCTTGTTCGTGCCCCTTTCGACCCTCTCTCTGCTCCTGGCAGGCCCCAGAGGCGTAAGTCCAGAGGCCCCTCCAAGACTCCGTCCTTCTGACAAGAAAGAAGAACAGGCTCCCTCCCAGGGGCAGGCTTCAGAAGAATCACGCCCACCGCCCCACCACCCAGGCCTGTACCACCTACCACACTATTGTAGTGATTAGCCATAAAGACTCCCCCTGACCACCGCCTCCGAATGGCCTGAGGTTGCTCCCTGGGGAGAGGGGTCTGCCTCCAGTAGCAGAGCCAGGCCTCAAGCCCTTGTCTGTGGGCCCTGGCTGGCTCCAGATGCCCTTACCTGGGGAGAAGAAGGGTGCCCAGCCTCCCTCCCCACACCAAAATCCAAAGGGCAGGTCAGACCTTCACAATGCACATCTGCAGAGACACAAACATGATACACAGATACTCTTGCACACTCAAACATATACACATGCTCTCTAATTCTCACATTCTTTACCCACCCAAATATATACGGCCACACTTACATGAATAGGCACACACAATCTACTCACACACACTAACACACCCATTTATATGTGCTCATACATATTAAATCTGGAAACACAGACAGACCTTACATACGTGCAAAACTAGTCACCCTCGAAAGAAATCATCTCCTCTCTTACACACGAACACGTATGGGTACACACACGCGCCACACACACCCCTTTCAGTTCTGACTCCCTAGGTGCCGGTTCTCAAATACACCCCCGCCCCATCTTCCGATGGGTAAGTTGTCACTTACCCTCGCGTAGCGGGACGAGTAGGGGTCCTCAAAGAGCGCCCAGATGCGAGGCTGCCAGCGGCGCCAGAAGCCACCAGGCCGGCCGTCAGGAGAGTCACTGAGTGCCAGGCGCTTGGTCATCTCCAGCTCGTCCTCGCCGTCGCCTGAGTCTCCAGGACCGTCGGCGTCCGCGTCGTCAGCGCTGTTGTCCAGGGGCGCACCGCCAAAGCTGTCCAGCGCCTCCTCAGCGTCCCGGTGCTGGCGGTAAGTCATCCAGCAGCAGGGCTCCACGTCCGTCTCGTCGATGCCCCAGAAGGCCAGCTCCTCTTCGTAGAGCGGCCCGCACACGTCTGCCGGGCAGTGCAGCTTGCCCGTGCGGTAGTAGTTCAAAATGTGCGCGAAGACGCCCGGGTGGCGGTCGAAAAAGAACTCGTCGGCACGCGGGTCATAGTCGAAATGGCTGTGGGCATCGGGCTCTGCCAGCCAGGCGAGCCGCGTGCCGGGCAGCGTGCGCAGCGTCGAGCGGTACGTCTGGTGGCGCGTGCCGCCCACGTTGATCACGATGCGCTCGCTCTCGTCCCCTTGGCCCATCGCGGCGCCCCCTTAGGCATGGCGCGGCCCAGCGACACCCATGGGAGCAGCCGCCAGGGGGAGTTGGTGCCGGGGAGGGGGGCGCGCGGCCTCCTCCCCCCTCCCCCCAGCCGTCGGGGGGTACAGAGGACCGCGACTCTGGAAACCCCAAGAGCAACGCAAGCCCCTCAGGGCGCTTTCTGTCGGGTACCGGTCCGGGGGAGTGTGCGCGGGATCCCAAGGGTCTCTAGGCGCCAGATGTAGGAGAGAGCTGGTCCGGCTGCGGAGGAGGCAGAGGAGGAAAGAAGGGCGGGAGAGAGGAAAGGAAGAAGGGAGGGAGGGAGGGGGGCGGCGCTCAGCGGCGAGACCTGGGCGGAGGGAAAAGAGGGTGGGGGGACCGGGCTCCCATCCCCATCTCAGCGGGAAAAATGTAGAAATCGACACAAAGCTTTTGTAGGTAAGGTCAGCTGCTCCCAGGGCCGGACAGATAGATCAGCCCCCGGAAGGGGGAGGAAGGAGAAGGGGCCAGGAAATTCGTGCTCTGATGTGCGGTGGTCGCTGCAGCGCGCTCTCGACGCGGGGGAGATGGATGCCCGCTGCCTTCTTCCCTGCGCGGCCGGGCTGCAGCTCGGGGCGTAGGGCGGGCTCCGGCCCCCACCCTCTTTCCTTGCCTGGCTGCCTGCTCCCCCCGGAGGCGGGCGCGCCTGCCCGCCTGCCCGCCCTCCTCGCTCTTTCTCCCCGCCTCTTGAAGGAGATGGCGGGCCCCCTGGACAGGGGCGCCGGGAACGCTGCTCCGTGCGGCTGCGGTGGAGCGCTGCGCTCGGTGCGCTTGGGCTCGAGCTGCGGTTCCGCTGGGCTGCGCTCGGACTCCGGCTCCGGCTGCGGTGCTGAAAGGACAGCTCCCGGACTGCTGTGGAGCTGTGTGGGGCCCGACAGGGGTTCTCCAGGCTGGATGCGGTCTGCGGGGCCGGCGGGCACTGGCTCCGGTGCCTCTGCGCCCCGCACTCCGCGCCGCGCTTCAGACAGGCGTTTGGCGCTGCCGGCCGAAGCGAGGGGGCTGCAGCGGTCGGGCCCGGGAGGCGGGGGTGGTGGGTCTGGGTGCGGCTAGGCGAGGCCGGGGAAGCGAGGCGCGGAGCGGCCGCCGCCGCCGCCGCCGCGCCGCTGCTGCCGCCCGGGCTGCTGCTTGGCTGGCTTGCTCTCTTTGCTCGTTTGCTAGCTCGCGCGGTCCGCGTCCAGCCCGCCGCTCTCCGGACACGGGCACACAGCGCGCGCAGCCGCACTCGCCCCCGGAGGGAAGTGCCGCGCTGGGTCCTAAAAAGCCCTGATTCCGCGCCCCCCTCCCAGTCCCGCGCGGAGCCCGGCCTCCCTCAACCCCGGCGCTGGGGGCGCCCGCCCCACAGGGCTCCTGCAGCTCTAGGGGGACCCGCCGACGCTCCGCCCCAGGGGAGTGCCGCTAGCTGCGAGAGGGCCCTGGGAGACGACTAGGCCAGCGTCTCCGGGTCAGACCGAAATGAAAAAGGCGTCTGCCCACACCCCTCTCTTTTGAAACTAGGGACTATCTTATCCTCTAGTGAACGGAAACCGGTAGGAGAGACACTTTGATCCTGATCAGTATTGGCCGCTGCAAGCAACCCTTTAACGCTGACCCTTGTCACAGAATCTGGAGCCTACATGATCCTTTCAAAGGTACCCACCCTGTAACATGTTCCTCGGGACCCACAAGTAAGTTTCCCTCCACTCCATACATACAACACACATGCCGTCCTCTAAACTCTCTACTAACAATCCGATAGTCCTGGGTGCTTATTAACCTCTTTCCACCCCTTACTGACCCCTGGGACCTTCATACTCCAGCCTGACCCCAGTCTCCCGTGAGTGCCACACATTCTACCATGTGGATCCCGCCCACTGATCCTCCCATACTAGCGCTGGATCCTTAAGTGGAGACCGCTTATGGGAAGGGCATTCTGCCCTTAGAGGTCAGAAGGTGGTCCTGAATGTTGACAATTGCCCCTCTCCCTGTAGGACTTCAGCTACCCTGGTTGGTAAGCTGATCCTGTTCCTGAGGGCTGGATGGGAGCAGCTGCCTGCTGTAATTGCTACAGCTTCAAAGATGATCGTGGGGGTGGGAGTTGCAGCTGTGGTCTCCAAGCCTTCCTGACCCTTGTTTGCCTCAGTTTACTCAATTGAGCAATCACTCCTTTGCTGGTTCCAGGCTCTATACCAGGCACAGGAGCACAAGAGACCCTGCCCTCGAGGGTCTCTCCGGTGGTCAGGGGTGGGATGATGGGCATGTGGCCCCTGACAGAGCTGAGAAAGTCAGGCCCAGCTCCAGGGGTGGCTGTGCCGGGAAAGAGACTTATCGATCTCAGCCTAGCTCAATCGAACACAAGACTGCCCGAGCAAAGGCGATTTAATTAAGAAGACACGAGGCTCTTATTTACCTGTCGGCACTTGCTAACTGTGCAGACAGCTGTCCCTTGACACTGACCTTCGGACACTGTTGCGGGCCTGGGGACACAGGCTGTGCTGCAGGCATCTCTCTCCTTGCTTTGCCAGGGGAATCCCAGCCTGGCCCCAGGGAAATCTGTGTGCGGTGGGAAAAAGATTTGGAGGAGTAGAGATGGTGGAGAAAGGCCAAGGACAGAGCAAGAGATGAGAGAGAGAAGGACGAGAGGCAGAGTCAGGGCAGAAACAAGGGTGGAGATGGGCAGAGTTAAAGAGAAGGCTGGTGTATGGGGCCAGTCCTCTCTCCAGTGATTGATCTGTGTTATTCCTCTAAATGAGAGCTATTTCCTCTGCACTCTCAGAATAATGCAAGGGTGAGAGTGCTTTTGAGTTTTCCTCTCACTCTGACCAGTGAGCACCAACCTCTAACCATAAAGAGGCCTCAGCCTGGCCCAAATTCAGACCTCCTGGACCCAGGCTCTCAGAAAACTCTGCCCCATTCCAAGAAAGTGATAAAACAGAGAAATGGATACCCCAGAGGGAAGAGAAGCAGACAGACACAGAGAGATGGAGACATACACACATACACCTGACTGGGAGGAACCAAGATGGGCAGAGACAAGAAAGAGGTCTTCCCAAACCTTCCCTTCTTTCCAGCCAGATGTTCACAGCTCTCCAACCCCCAGGCAGCCTTCTGTGATTCTGCCAGCCACAGGGGCCCAGGGCTCCATCCCTTCCCTCTCCTGCAGGGCCACATGGTAAGGAAGTGTGACTCCCCATCCCTCTCCAGCTCATCTCCAAAAAGTGACTGTCAGTTCCTCCAGGGATGCTCCTTGTTTGCTTCCCTCCACGGTGCCCAGAACACAGGAGCTCCTCAGTAAAGGCTGGGTAGTTTGAGAAAGGAGAAGGGTCAGGGTCCTAGAATCCCAGCATCAGAGGCCATAGGAGTCTAGAGCCCTTAACTGAGGCTGAGTCAGGGGGAAGGCCTTAACCAGGGTCTCTCAGGGAGTCAGTGCAGAGCCCACTCAAGCCACTACCCCATGGTGAGTCACAATGGGGATCTGAAGCGTGTCCCAGATGGTGGAGAGAAGAAGGGGGAGAGACAGAGAGAGGCGACAGGCTCCTCATATGGGGAAGGAGCTCTGGTCATGCCTGGCCCCGGAGGATGTGCTAGAAAAAGAGGCAGGTGGTGGTCGGAGGGAAGGGGAATGTCAGAGGGCATCTGTCACACCCCAGAACCTGCTGTGAGGCAAGCAGAGAAGGCTCAGCGAGGGGAGCCTCCCAGGTGGGAGAGGGGAGCTGCCTCTCAGGTGCCCCACACTGTCCCACTTTAGGATTCTCACCTTCATCCTTCATGACACTCCCAGCCCAGACCTCGGAGAATGTCCCCCACCTTCTCTATCCCAAGCAGGGCTGTAAAAGTCTCTTTTCTCACTTCCTCTTCACACTGTAAGAAGGCTGGCATTTGCAGAAAGCCCAGAAAAACCAAGAAAGCATCACAGTAAAGGAAGGACAAAGGCCCCAGAGAACTGAGAGTGAGAGGAGGACTTGCTGATGGAGCCTTAGCTTCTCAGCCACAACCGCTAACCACAGACCCGCAGCCCAGCTGAGAACCTCACCCCTTTCCATCTCTGAGCCGCGCTGCCCTTACTCATAGCCATTTTCCTCTTCCTCTGCAGAGAGGAAATCTTGTGGTCCCATACCAGGGTCTTTGGGATCAGTAGCTTGGGCCGGGGGCAGTGCACTACCAAACAGGTCATGGTGTTCAGTGGCTAGGAGCATAGAACCAGACTGCATGGGTTCAAATCCCAGCTCCACCATTGACTAGCTGTGACCCTGGGCAAATTACTCATTTCTTCTATGCCTCAATTTCTTTATTGTTGTACACGAATAGCAATAATCCCTATATCCTTAACACCTCATCTCTGGAATTTCTCTTGTTTAGACTAGTGGGGAGGGGTTGTCAGGCTCCGGTAAGATCGGCAGTGGGACTGGCTGAGAAGATGAACTTGGGCTGCACTAGAAAAAGGCGAAGGGAGTCCTGAAGCCAAGTTTGGCCTATGTTCTCACACCTGGCACTTGCAGGCCTTTGATCTAGTCCGGCTAGGCTCTGGAACTGGCCCAAGACCAGCCTCCAGGCCTTTGTCCAGGCTGGCACAAAGTATATGCTGCCCTCCCAGGCCCAGAGCTTTAGCATTCTTGATGGGTTAGAGTGCCATCTTGTGGCCACATCTGGAAGCTAACCTAACCTGGATACTGACTGTAGGCTTTGAGGTTACAGTAAGCAATAGGACAGGCATTTTCTCCCCACACAGGAATGCCTCCCTTTGATGGACAGGGGAGAGTGAACCTAAAGGTGCCAGAGTGGGAACCTGGGGACTGTGGCTGCTAGACCTGTAGCTTGAGCGCTGACCCTGGTACCTAACCTGAGAATGGGTAGGTGTAGAGCTGTCCCTTCCTGAAGACACTGGGCAAGTGGATCCCAGATCTCTTAGACGCGGGGAAGTCGAGAAAGGGGCCACGGTGAAGAATACTCTGGGGAAGTGCTAGGCCAGGGTTTCTCATTCTGCATTATCGGCATTTGGAC